ATGGGCCTCAGCAGCTGGCTGTACATGTGTCCACCAACCATATCCCGGCAAAAGATGCGGATCTTTCTTCAAGAGATTCCACATCTAATGATCTTTTGGTGTTCATATAGAATGCTTAGCGAAACCTGTGCAGTCGCCATCGCTTAGTGGTACGGCGCATGGACAGTATGCTAATATACCCAACCGTGAGGAATCATGTTAATATGTTCCGCTTCGGGTTGTGCAGGTTTTTGACCATCAACAGCATATTGTGGAACCTGCCAGTCGCGGATTCTGCGTTGTGGCGACTGATCGACAAGATGGTGTGCTTAGAGCCGCCGGATGCCCATCAAACAACTTGCTGGTTGGTGGTCTGCGGTCTCCTTTTCTTGGTTCGAGTATAGAGCAAGGGAAGCTTTACAACAACTTTTCTGCATGGGCCTAAAGGATTACAGTGCTAGGGATGGAAAAGAAAATGGAAACTACGGTATCGTTGGGTGGTTATATTACATGGGGCCTATGCTATGTGCTTCCATTCCTAACAACCAGTCAGTGACAAGCACGGGTTGAGGGTCTAGGGCATATTGCCCTGCTAAGGGCTCCTCAAACAGGCCCGCCTTACACGGACCGTAGTGTTCGTAGGGCCCTATTGGGCTTACGTACGTGTTAGCTTAGGAACTTTATTGCCGCTAAGTACTGTTGATACTCACAATCCTGCATGACCTTAACATTTTGTAGACAATAATTCTCAAGGTATAAGGTACGTAGGGTCATACAGGATTTTTAGTATCCACCGTAGGGACCAGCTTGTGTGTGCCAGCTATTGGGATCTATATCACATTAACCTCTTGGATACCGCCCTCACTCATTAAACATTAAACAGCTGGATAATATACTATTACTGTTGCCATTACCTTTACCATCACTATCACTATCACTGTCATTATATGTCAGTATTACTGTTACTTTTTTTAGCATTACCAGATTACCCGTATGAGTATCATTGCGATTATTATTACGATTACTACTACTATTACTAGTACTGTTACTACTCCTATTACTATTATTATTATTACTACTACTACCATTACTATTACTACTACTAGTACTATTCAACAGGGTGTGGCATGGCAGTGGCACTCTGCTATCAAGGCCAGTCTCCAGTTTGCTCCAGGAGACAAGGCATCCGGCCGAGCAGAATTCATCTCTTGTTCTAGTAGTTATGAATCATATCTTACGATAATAATTCGAATAGTGGTAATATTGATAGTAGGAGTAATATGAGAGTAGTGCCGGTGGCAGTAGTAGTAATAGTGAATAATCATACAAGTAGTGGCGATAGAGTATTCCTGATTGACCTTTGTATGCTAAGATACCATATTTCCCCAAGTATAGGGTACCTAGGTGTCACGCAGGATTGTTGGTATCAAGCTTATCCACCCTAAGATTAAGTCTGTGCCTCAGTCTATGAGATCTTCCATAGGTAAGATCAAGCATTAAAGCGCGGGCTGCTCAATATTTAGGGTAAGGACCGCAAGGAATCTGAAAAGTCTTGTTAGAAAAAGGCGCATGTACTGAAGAAGGATCTTCGTATTCTAGAGCAGCCTTTTTCACAATTTGTCCAAAATAATCCTTATCATAAACTCTCCAGTCCTCACGTGTTCCTAGGACCCCTCACCTCCCAGAATTTTGCCCTTGACCGGAAGGATGGCGTCGTGGAGGTCCCGTTGATACCAACTGTTGAGGCGAGGTAGGGCTTGATTCAGAACACTGAGTGAATACCAAGATCATCCCTTTGTAATCCTTGTCTAAGTTTAGTATAGTCTACCCCAATGCTTGGTTCGAAAACAAATCGGCAAATGCGTGCTTCGATTCAATCCGTTCTTCATGCCCCATATCCCATAGCTTGTAATCGCTTACCAGGCTGACAGTCAATGTCACTTTCTAACTCGTCTCACCTTCGACGCTCAGCGTTCCCCCAAGGCTTTATTCGAGGTTATCTAAGCCCCTATTTTGAGGCTTCTCCACATGGAAAGCTGTGAAAATTGCGGAGGAGCTCCTGCAAAAGCCTACATACAAACAGAAACTCCATTTGAAGAACATCCGAATGTGATGATATTCAATCTTGTCAAAATCCCTATGTAGGGTTTCCAATAAGCAGGGAGAGACAATATAGACCCCAAATTACTGTAATCCTTACTATAGGAAACCTCGTGAAGTAACAACCTTCGCAGCACTGTGACAGCAAACCGTTGGCAGGTGCGCAGCAACCATTGGTCCGTCTACATCACCACAGTGGGGCCCTTGATGTGCCTGTGGGAGCTGCAAGAGGTTTGAGTCTTGATTGTCTGTACAATGTCCATATCAAGTTAGCTCTACACAACTACCTTCTCACACTTCTCAATCCTAATTCTTGGGCAAACCCCCACGCCCAAAATCCTACCCCAGACACCTAAATCCTAAACTTGCCACAAACCCCTAAACCCCTCAAAGCTCAAAACCCTACACCCCCCACTCAGAAACCTAGAATTCTCTCAGGCAGCCCGGCGTCTCTCCCAAAATTTTGGTGGAGATCCGCTTCTGGGCTGCGATGCTGGAAGCCTGGTGTTAGGGTTCAAATTTCAGAGCTTGAAGATTTGGTGTTCAAGGAGTCACGTGGTTGGGGTTAGGATTTTTGGAAGAAACTCCTCGAAACCGCCGAGTACAGGTCCCTATACAAGGGCTCCAACTTTCATACGCATCCCAAACTTCATGTTCCGGTTTTTGGGCACTGTAGTTTTTGGCAACCTCGTGAGGGTTCCTGAAAACTATTCCTTACCTTTTGATGTTCAAGAATGATTAACTCATGTAATTCCTCATGATTCGCCTATGGTACCTACCTTCATAGTAAGGCATGAGCAGTGGCTCTTCTTATCCGTATTGTTGATGGAACCTGAGGATGATGTAGGTTGGCAGCTTTCCCAAAATCAGGGGAACCATTTTGGGGGTCCCCATAGTAAGGATTATAGTATTTGGGGGTCTATATTGGGGTCCCCTTATTAAGGGAAACTACCATTTCTGTCAAGAACGGGAAATGGTTTCTCTTTCAATGTCGTCTTGCTGGTATCGCCACTATGGGTTTGTTGTCTGGCAGCTCACATTGAGGTGGCCATCGCTTGTGATCTACCTCCTGCCTCAGGTACCTCGTCAGTAGCAGCTGTATGACCATGACATATATTGCGATCATGAAGATAGCACCGCTTTTCACCTTCGGAACCACTGCAAGTATTGCCGTCAGAAGTGTTGCTTGGAACAAAACCTGTAGTTGCCTTGGTTCCGGAGTGTTTTGCTTACAATGCACGGATTACTACACCTCCTAGAATTGATGTTGCGTATCGAAGCTATGGCGGGGAGCCAGAAACTACTTTCACACACGACAGGCATGAGCACGTCGTCTGCCCTCATCTGCGTCACGGCCCTAGTTTGTGAGGACCGACAGCATGTTTCTTCTTAGTTTGTGGATCCTTGCACGTAGAAAGCACACGGGCAGCGGCACCAGAAGTACAGCATTGACAGCCAGATCAAACAAAGTTAGAGCTGCTGCATAGCCAGAAGTTTTGGCGTATCCTTCCTGATTGTGGCTGATTCGGCTTGCTGGCAGAAGCCAGCCTGACGAGGGAAAGTTCAGGAAGCTTCTAACCAAAACCTTGTGCTGCCAGTATTTTAGTTTCTGGCATGGTGTATGACTGCTGGCAATGGCAAAAAACTTGTAATTTAAGCTGAGGCCATGTTCATGGTTCTGGATGCTCTGGCCTTAGTGCGATGTACGCGTGGGTTGCTAAGCATCGTGGTTCACCTCATAGGCCCATGGTCATATCAGGCATGTTCTTATGGTGGGTGAATAAGAGCTAGAAACTACGCTGGTAATCTGACAATGTGCCTTTGCAGGCCTTATGATGTCTCACATCATAGTGTAGAGGTCCCCACAAAAAGGTGTTTTCGTACAGTGTCTTTTCCTGCGGCTTCCCAAACAGCTCTCAAAGTATCTTCAAATCCCTAAAACAATCCTAGGGTCCCTAAGAGTACACATTTTGAGAAAAACCTTAAGCCCAAAACTCCTAAAGCCTATACCACCTTAAAAGGAACCTGAAGCTACCACCTTTAGCCCCAACCAAGGGACCCTAAAGAGCGCAGCTGCAGGCTCGTAATCATCTGCGACAGCGACCTGAGTCCTCCTGGCTCAGTTGAGAAGCGGGCCCTTGTTTCGGTTTGGCGTTTAGGGGTTTAGGGGTTTGGGGTTTGGGATGGAGGGCTTACGGTATAGGACTTCGGGCTTAGGGCTTGGGATTTAGTCAGGGTGTAGAGCTTGGGGTTTAGGCTTTAGGCTCTAGCGTGCTGCTGAAAAGTGCTCTAGAAATCGGAAGCTGGGGTTTACCCGCATTTAGAAGGACATGTAGGCTTTAGGGCTTAGGTGATAAGCGGACTCTTGGTGACCATCATAAGCCTCTTATACCGTCCTTGATATTGGAGTTGGGATAAGCCAAATCCCCTTCTCATCGTGACACGAGTGATAAACTGATAAACAGCAATACTCGCAAAGGAAAGGTCTGAAGAAACCATACTTGAAGGCTCAGGTGGCTTCATAACTGTACATACTACCCTTACGAGCCACGTGAGAACTCCAGTCATCCGCATAAGTAAGCTATTTACTTGGTCCCCGCAACCCTCCAAGTAGTGGGGATTCAAATTTCGAGAAATCCCCAAGTTCAGTCAGACCCTACCTGGCAAACCCTGAAATCTAAACCCAGAGCTCTAAGCCGTGAACCCTAAAAGTTGTCAGATCAAAGCACTGCAGGTTCCAAGCAGCGTTACCAACTGAGGAGGACACCCGCTGGTCATTAAATAGGGCAGCTTGTAGCAGCTTACAACAACAATATCTGGTGCATGGAATAGTAGAGAATGCAGGACTGCATCCCACAGTAGCATTGGCAAAGACCCTTCTAATCTGTGCTCCCATTCGATACTGCTCACCTGGCAAACAGGTTCTCTATGAATACCTCGGCTGCATCGAGAATGGTCAGTCTTGGCCCCACCCAGCTGAAAGGCAGGTCGAGAAACGAGAATCGCACCATCAGATTTCAGGTCATGCGGTGCTTTGACAGGTGATCGAGGCACGATCTTGGCTTTTGTCGAAGAGTATTGAACTTATGACGCAGAGGTGTTGGAACCTTTGGAGGAAGTGAGGACCTGTGCCGTGCCTGCGAGAGGATGGCATTTAAATGACCGCAACCATCGTGCCAGGACCACACAGCAATCATGTCCTCTGAGAGAGATACACTCAAGGCAGCGTGCCATCAGACAGCAGTTACGAATCACTGTCGACAGATTGGTGGCTCGAAGCGTGTTCTTGCGCGCAAGGTGTTCTCGTATAAGCCCACGAGGCTGGAACGCAGGGTCCTCATGCATGCTGTCGGAATTCTGTCGAAAGCACATATTTGGCAGCTTACGCTGATGTATCTAGAATCTTGCAAGCTGATGCATTCATTCACTTAGAGCGAGCGGTTGCTTCAAAGCATAAATCGAAGGTGTCATCAAGATGCCTTCGGATCTGATATTTGCCGTTGCATCCAGCGGACTTCTGGCAGAAAAGACTGGGCCGCAAGCTGAGCATGGTCTGCTTCAGTGGGAATCCTTCTTAAGCATGAGCCTAATCATGGCAATAACTGGCAATAACAGTAGTAATTACAAGAATCGTAAGATAGCAAAAACAGCAACCCGTCATCTTGCTGGTGTATAGCGAGGACAAGTGATCAGAGCAACCTGTCAGGGACAAGATGGAAAGCTACAATGATGCAGCGACGCTGGCCCTCAACGCCGGCAAAGCCGTTGCCAAAGCCCAAGGCCAGAATCTTGGCACCAGCAATTTTTGCAGACTATAAGCCGTAGTCTACACTCTTTAAAGGGGGTTATATAGCGGATTATTTTGGGGAGCATTGAAGGGGTTATTAAGGGTGATACTAGGAGTTTAGATGAGACTGTAGCTCATATAAACTGGTTTCCATTCATTGCCTTGAGAACAGACGGGAAGATGGAAAGCATTCGCATGGCCATGAGACATGCATGCCAGCATTCTGATTATTTTGCCTGGGCGGGTAGTTCTTGTACTGGTTGATGGGTTTCAAAGTGTTGCTTCTTGCCAAGCAGAAGGGAAGATGGAAAGCATTTGCATGGCCATCAGGCAGGAATGGCAACAAGCAACACTTTGAAACCCATCAACCAGTACAAGTACTACCCGCCCAGGCAAAGTAATCAGAATGCTGGCATGCATGCTTTCATTGTGGAAACATCTCAAAGGGTTTTCTGCTTCATCGTGAACAGGGAGGCCACAATCCCCTTTTGTTGCCGGCGTACCTGAAAGATTGCCCCCCTTTTGAGAAGCTCCAGGATTGAGATACAGACCTTGTAGGCTACCAAAGCCCAAACCCCAAAGCCTAACCCACCCCACCACCCAAAAATAAAGATAAAAACGCAAACCCTAATCCCCCAAACCTCAATCGTAAACCACCCAGATGTGCCCTGCTAGGCTGGGATGAGGACGGGCTGCACAGGGCCAGCACAAAAAAGGGAATATCTCAAAATTGAGAAGGTCTCTTTTGTCTAGTACGTATAGCAAGAATCTTCTTTTTTTATGGGGGGGCGGACCTAGGGGGGAACCCTTTTTCGAGCATCAGTTGAACATGGGCAAAATCTCATGAGGACTGCACAGATCTTGCTGTCTGCATCCAGCGCTGTGGCGGCGGACGAGAAGCCCGCCTGAAGCCCACGATCCCTTGCTCTGCATGATGCAGCCCCCGCTGTTCAAAGGTGATGCCATTGTAGCTACGCTTCGGTCACAGCTTCCAGGCACGCCTGCCGACAGGAGTGGAAAGTTTTTTGTTGAACTGCGCCTTTGGCGCAGGGGAGACTTTGGAGACTCGATTCAAGCAGTTTTTCACTGAGAACGAGGCATCCAGCCATGCATGGCCGTTTCCCACAGCGAGGAATGTGTCATTGATGGCAGGAATGCGTGCCGGGCGTTGCCGAGGCCTGTTGCTTCTGGGTATGTGAATTGAATGGGGCCTGTGGCAGACAAGCTAGGCATTTGCGGCAGCAGACGAGCAGAAGCTCGGTGAGTTTGCCAAAGCCTTGGAACTTCTGTTTTGTAGCAGATGGAAGTCATAGGGATCCTCACAATCATTTCAGAATCCCCACGCATCCCTGCAGACAGTAAGGGGGTCCATCCAAATAGAAGAAAACCTGGCTCTCATGGCTTGTAGGTGGAAACTTCGCAGCGTGCTGGGGACGTCGGTCTGCAGCCCTACTGGCATGTTGTCCATCTCTAACTGATGGTTAGGAGGGAAGGAAGGAATGAAATAGAATAGGAAAACGACTATTGGATCTAGGACCAAGAGAATTCAGGGTGGACGACTGCTCGAGCAATTCCCAAATTTCCTGCTTCTGCTAACCACCAGAAAGATGTCGTGTCTTGCTGCCGGACCGCATTCCTGGATCATACTCAGGATTCCTGCTACATTTGAAAGTCTTGAAAACAGCAGCAAACTCAAGAAAACTGTAAGGTAGGCAAGCCACTCATGACTAACGGACAGCTGGCAGGAATCTTGTTCCGGAGACGCGATGGTTGCCGGCAGAAGCATCTTGCCTGCAAAGTCTGTACGGCCAGACCTTCAAGTCTCATGAGCTGCTTCCAAGTATCATCATTACGTATCGTTACTACAAGGCCATCAAGGGTGCTGGCTATGGTATTCGAAAGTATAGACCCAAAGTTATTCCCTCATGAGATCCCATATCCTTGGGTTCGGTTACATTGTTAGAGCTCACACGAACTGCACATCTTCCTCGTCAAGCGAGCCAGTCACGGTCCCCTGTGCATATCCAAACCGCTAGAATGCTAGAAGCGACCCTTGTTTCCAACAGTCATGACAAACCCTCATTTGCTGATATCCCTATGTCCTACGCATCCCCGCAGCACCTCATGAAATCCTTGCATTTTTACACCTAGCAGAAATCCAGGATGTTAAGAAGTTCCCCCCCTGCCCTTCAAGGCGCGACGGCAGGGAGCTGTTGCTGCGTCGGCATTCGGCGCCGGGTTTGGCGGAAGTGTTTGGGTGGCTTGCCTCAGGAGAGGAGGTCTCCCAAGAAAGATGTAGGAGGGAGTTGATGGGAAGTGAGACGGGCTAATGGAAAATAAAATGGAAACTACTATAGTATATTGGGGTTATATATGGTTATATAGGGATAATGGAAAAGAAAATGGAAACTACTATATATAATGGGATTATGTTGGGTTCATACTGGGAGAAAAAGAAGACTTCTCAGCCATGTTCGTGGAAGAGCGCAGGCCAAATTTTGCTGCCTCCAGTTGTTTTGACTACTACTCTTGCTTCTCCTGCGGTTGCTGGTTTTGAGAGGGGAGCTCCTCCTAGAGCCGCTGTTCCTAAAAGACTATTGTAGTTTTTTTTCTGTTCCATGTTCCCTACATTACCCTTATTATTATCCTAATAGAACACTACATTACCCCTAGATTGTTATGATGACTACTTGTGTTGGCGGCCCAACCTTGAAGTGAGGCCCTCACTCGGGCATCAGCTGCTGACAGCTTCCTCCAACAGTGGAGGGACGCATACGTGAAGGTCCGCAGTCGCAAATGGTATGTTGTTCAAGCCGCGGTCTGGCAAACCTGAGGTTCAGATTACGTGGTAGCTGGGCTACGGCTTTGTTCATCAGATGGCTTTTTGAGGAGTTCCCTGACAGAGCGTCGACGTGCGAATTCTTCACAACAGCAGCAGCCTCAGCATTCTAATTGATGTGGGGTGCCCAGGTTCCTACAGTTATATAAAATGTTATAAATGTGCAACAATTTTTGTAAAGTTTTAAAATTGATTGACATACTATTAAGCATCCACAAATCATTTAACCATAGATCTTTAACATTATATCCACCAAATAAATATAAATCGAGCACTTGTCTGTAAGCCCATGGGCTTCGCGCTACACAGCTTTGAAGCTTGCATGACATGCAGGCCTGTACCCTAATATCGAACACCCCCTGGTCCTTCATGTTTCTATGACTAGGCGAGGTGGGGCTGTTCAAGCTTTAATGTTGGATCCTCTTTAATAAGTGGGCCCCCCCCTCCCCTAACAATAGGGCCCTCCGAAAGATGGAAATTAGGGATCCTCAATAGTGACCCCAAAATCCTATCTCAAGGTAGTAAGGTTTGGGTGATTAAGTTATAAAGGGATTCTGATGGCTCTGGTGATTGTGGAAGTGAGGATGACTAAGGGTCTTGTGAGTAAATTATAAAGGAATTCAGAGGGCTCTGGGGATTATCTTAGGACATGCCAAGGACCATTAGCATCTGAGGATTGCAGCTTAGTGGTAGCTTTCGCCTTCAGCACTTCCTGAGCTTCACTAAGACTCTGGACTTTATTCATTAAGGTTTTTCTTTTGGCCCCTAATTAAATCCTAATTCTAAACCCTAAACCCTAAACCCTCAACCCTACAACCTGAACCCTAAACCCTAAACCTAAATTACACCTTAGACCCTAAACCTGAAAGTGCCATGTAAGGATGAAGACTCAGACGAAGCTGAGCATCCTCATGGCTTTTCTGGCACTGAGTGCTGTCTCAGGCCAGAGTCACTGGGCTGCATCTAAGGGTTTGTTAGGACTGTCTGCATCAGGAAGCTGTGTGTGCATGCTGAGTTTGTCTGAGAGAGCATTAGGATTTTAAGGCATCTGCAGTGAGGAAGCATGAGGAACTTGCGCTTGGGTGTAGGGCTTAGGGTTTCAGGTTTAGGGCTAAGGTATAGGGCGTAGGGTTTGGGATTCAGGGTTTGGGGTTGTTTCCCTTGAGCTGCTGGGTAGTTGTAAGGCATAATTTAGCCAGGGGGCCTGGGAGCCCAGTGTCTTGCCCCAATGTTGAGAATCCGCTCGTCAGCAATTTGCTTCGCAGCATGGGTTTCCCCAGGTCCTAGGCAACCTTGTCCTTCTTAGGGTAATGGGGACAAGAGCAGTCTACGCTGTATTTCCAGGAGTTGGTAAGCTAGAATCTTGTACCCGGACCCCATTTGGACTAAGTTTGGCCGCTTTACCCATTGGTGCTTGCTGGGTTGCGAGCTTCATGGGCAGTTCTAGCCTTTTTCGTTGTAGGGTTGATGGTCAAGTCGCTTGGGCGACGCCAGTTTTATGGGTTATATCATCTACAACAAAAGCCGTCAGCCACGATATCTACTTATAGCTATGACTTTGTTGTTCCGTATACACCCCTGTATCCTGCCAACAAGGTTCATGTATAGCCCCTCAATCTGGAAAGTAAAGCCCTGAACCTTAGAGCCTAAACCTTAAAGCCCTAAACTCCTAAACCCTAAATCCCTAGACCCCTAAACTAAAGCCTTAAAGCCGTAACCAACAGGCTGAGAATTGCGCATGTGGAGTATATAGCGATATGTAGGGATGTCACCTCAATTTTGGAGAATCAAATGGGAAATAACATGGAAAGTTAAATGGAAAATTAAATGGAAACTGGTGGCACCTATAAAGGTTACCTCTGGTTAGCTAGGAATGAAGGCATGGAAAAGAAANNTCCATTCCTTCATTCCGAGCTAGCCGAAGGCCAGTAACGTCACAGGCCCTCCTCCTGCTTGACATGTCTCCTGGGAACCTTGGGAAGGCGATCAAAATCCATCAATCCAACCAATATACCTCCCCCAAACTAAAATGGACCCCAAACAGTCCTTAAACCAGGACAGTTCTTTATAGGGCCCTTTTGAGCATTCCATGTTAGTTTTGGGGACGGGTACCTGACTTGAACCCTGAACCCTAAACCCTAAAACCTTAAACCCTAAACCGTAAATCCTAAACCCTAAACCACAAACCCTAA